ACCATCGTTACTGTCTCGTAAAAATCTGGTTTTACGACTTATTTCAGGTATAGAGGTACCTATTTAAAATAGTAAAATATATTTTATATTGTTTGATGGCAGCCATTAAGACACAATTGAGATCCTCGAGTGAGCATTAAATAAAAAAAAAAGATTCGTATCGTTATCTTGCAACTCATGCGAGTTTTATGTGCATATAATTTTTTTAAATTGAAAGGAATTGAAGGTAGATTTGATCGGGAACAGTATGTAACTACAGATGAATATATGACTAGAGAATAGCCGTTGTAATAAATTAATATAGTTCGTGTATTAAACGCAAATATCATATAATTATTTAATTTTTATGATTATTCATGGATTCACATTACACACACAATTACCCAATCGTTTATAATCTAACCTTACCATCGTCTATCGCCTGTTTACTGTACATCTATATTTTATATAGGTCTTGTTAAATTTGTTCATATTATATACAAATATTTCATCTTAATTGAATGAGATTTGAAAGTAAAAGGTCGGTAGATGGGTAGTCAGCAGAGAAAAAATGTGTGACATGATTATAATATAGTAGTACATAAATTGACTATTGTATACAATATATTATTATAATAATGGTTTTAATATTTGTTTGTACTATAATCTTGTATATTTATGTGTTGATTTATTAGTTTTATAATTTAAACATTATTATCGTACGATGATCCAAATTTATTTTTACAATAAAGCTTTTCAACTGAAAGATATTTAATTATCATATTGATGTTACACATTATATGTCTAGGTACTTATAACTCATGAAAGTTTGAAAAATAAGTATTTTCGTTAGGGTTGCTAATATAATATTTGATTAATTATTTAATACTATTTATTTTATGATCATTATATTATTGAATATAGGTACTAACATAATTATACTCAAAACCGACAAGCAGACATAATAATAAACAAACATTTTTTAATGTAGTTACTCACTTATAATATAAATTTTTTTTTAATCGCTTGAGTCGATGCTTTAACTTTGTAGCTTATACATTTGATTTTGATTTAATTTGTATTTTAATATTGATAGTTATTTTATTTCACTTTAATGACTTAGGAGAAAATATTTTTTAATTCAAACAAAATCAATTTTATATTTACTAAGACGTGTTCTAATTACAGAAATAATTTCTGATTCGAGAGTCATTAAGTTATAAACTAGAACTGTGGGAATTATTTTTATTTATTTTTTTTTTTTAATGTATCATTATAAATTCAATTAATATGTATTATTATTTATTATGAAATCTGAAAAAAAAAGAAGTTAGGATAACATTCAACAATCGTTGAAACTATAATTTATGGAAAAATAAAAACTGGCTTTCCTGTAATAGCGTTAGGAACTAATAATATTCAATATTTAAACAACTGAACCTTAGATGCGGAACTTTGAACTTATAAAAATACTAATAAATAATGAATAGAAAATGTAATTTGAATGATTATACAAACTATACATGAATGAATTTTCATAAAAAAATAAAAAACCATTTCGTTATTTTGAAAAATCTGTAGTGTATACAATATTATGCTCTATCTAAATGTCATATCAGTTCGTTCAATCGTACATACGCATGTGAAAGGTCAAAGGATTGATACCAAGAATTATATTACAATTCAACAGTTGTATTTCCAGAGAAGAAAAAAACATTCACAGACATCATTGTAAAATTAATAACTTCATCGTCTTGCTCAGACTCTAAAAATGTCTAATACCACACGAGCCTTTTACGTTGTAAGTATAATATAATATAATATGTCAAATATACATAATATATTAATATACATATATAACCATTATGCTTTTGTATACATACCTATACACCTTACACCGGTATAATAATAATATTATGTATTATTATTATAATGTATATAAAATGTACGAGGTTTGTTTTTAGTTTTACATACATATTAACGTAAGTAGAGCGTTTGACATAATATGTGTATGATATATTATTATTCTTAATGTATGCATATTATTATAAAACATAATTTGATATTTTAAGGAATAATATCTGGGGAAGACATACAAGGATAAATTACATTTCATAATTATAAACTACGCACAATACTAATATGTTGTAGTAAATAATCTAAATACATAATCTCTCTTAAACGCAAAACAATGTTTCAGGTTTGTTTTTACTCCATTTTAATATAAAAAAAACTTTAATCTATTTACAATAATGTATTTTTCTAATATTATTGTTCCTATTATCAATTAATAAAATGTATTTAAAAACAATTAATTATTTCTCAGCTTTTATAGTTGGTACGTCTACATTAAATCAACCCGAAATGTAGGTACAAATCGATATTTTGCACACCAAATATCTCTAAAGATGATAATATTGATATCGTTTTATTAAGATTATTGAAAATTTAAAATAACTATAAGAAATCTGATGAAAAAAAGAAATAACAATAGTGGTAATATAATAGAAGGGAGTGTTCAGTAAAAGTAAAACTACTTCTAGCATACAAACTCAGGATTTGTTTTTGATTTTTTTTTTATATTTAAATAGAGGGAATATGACGTAGACAGAAGAGGATATTCTAGTAATGTGTTAAAGCAGGGCTTTAAAATTGTTTAAGTAGTAGGCCACCCATTTTTATTAAAAATCTCATGGGAAGCATTCTTTAAAAAATAAAAACACACATATTTAATGGTTGATAAAATATTAAAAAATACACCATACGCGTAAAATCGGTTCGTTTGCCTCAAACATAAAGTTGGCTGCGGGTTGAAGACCCCTTGAAGTGTCAGTGCCAGTGCTTTGATTTTTGGGGCCTTGTGCAATTTTTTAAAAGTGAGGCCTCTCCTGTGCTGGATACATCGCCGCGGTGCATGCGATGCATTCCACTAGGACCCCAAAACATTGAAAAGTTTGTGGACCCCAATAAAATATGGATATCAAAATAATATAAACTAAAATAGTAAGTATAATATGCATCTGTAGTTTTTTTCGAATAGTGTTTTCAGATTTTGGATTTGAAATTTAGTATTTTATTTAGATTATATTCTATAAATGTTGTTAAAAATTGTTTTCCTCTGTTAAAAAGCATGGAAATACCTACAAGAACCCTCAAAAGTTGTTACCATAGCAGTTTAAGATAATAAAAATCGGTAATCATAGTTACAATTTTTTTAGTTATAAATTACTATAACAGCTAACAGTCTGTATTGGCACAGAATCGATTTTCATATACTATGGTGTATCATTGAATTCATATTTTACACATAATTAAACATTACAGTGACTTATTCAATGTCCAATGATAATTTACACGTATTTACACTATTACTCTACAGCGTTCACCTGCTTTCCCTTTTTTTAAAACCATTTTTTTTCCTACACAAATTGATTATAATATCATTAAAGGAACATAATATTCTTACTATATAGATATAATATAAATTCTAACCTTCCACAACAAATAGTATCTGTAAAAACCGTTATGAAAGATAAAAAGTGACTAATACCTAATAAAACATATTTTGAGTAGTTATATATTTATAATATTATAAATAACAACTTTCCAAGTAGTTTTCCAGACGTTTTATTAAGTACTTGCGTCATTTGTATTACGATGTCGGCAATTACTGTTCGAGTAGAAAAATCATTTTCAAACTAAAACATATTATATTACCTATTACAAGTCATATTTGTACGTCGAGGTCGTTGAGTAGCGATTGAATACGAATACTAGTTATAATATACTAGTTATATATTTATATATAATACTATATATACAACGAATTAATTGTAATGAATGGAATAATTATTGTAAGTTACATGGTTTTGCTATAAATTCATGCCATAATCCATAGGTCAATGAATGACAAATCAATATGGTTTGTACATTTGAATTTTGCTTTCTGTTGGGAGATTTTGGAACTAGAAGTTACCTTAGTTTATTCAGGAGTCTGAGGCTTAAAGATACTCGTTTATAGTTAATGTAAGTATTGTAGGTCAATCTCTTAGCAAAATGGAATTCTATATAATATTTGACAGAGTTTTTTATTGGGGTTTGTTGGTTGTTAATAGATAGAGGGGGGGGGAGTCAAAGTAATGAAAGTGGGTTAATTATTTTCAATGATTTCTTCTCCTTAAACTGTACTATTCTTGTAGATTTTTTAGACGGTCTCTAAGATTTTTCGTAACAAGTCAGTACTAAAAGCAGTTTTTTACAACCTCGTTGATATTTCTTATTTCAATTGTATTTGTCTATATATTATATATTTTTAATTATATTGACATTTTATGTCTTTGCTTGGGCATATAGAATCGAAAAACGTTACTTTACGTTACAAAAAAACGTTACGTTATTTATTTATGTTTATAAATATTTGCCATGGGTTTTAAAACTATAATAATAATTATTATTATTATGTCTTTGCTTTGGCACATAGAATCGGAATCGAAAAACGTTACATTACGAAAAAAATTGCAAAATATCATTTTTATAATCCGAGATTCGAACTCGATATATGCGCTTATCACATGATAGTTAGGTGATGGATATCTGATAGCAAGAACAATAAAGACATAAAATGTGGTACTTCATTGCAGACTCGTATGCAATATGATTTAAAATGTATAAAATTATAAAATTATAAAATGTCATTATGATTTCCTTTTTGTTATGTATTATACAAATTTTAAATTATTCTGGAATAAGGATTAAAAATCAATTTTATATAATTTACAATCCTTTTGTTTAAATACTCAAATCTTATTATTTTTATAGACATTATCATAATATAACAGTCCAGTCAATAATTTTGTGCAAATTTATATAATAGCTGTATGAATAATATTATAAACAATTATACATGAAACATACCATAGTTATAAATCGACGTAAATAACAAAATATATAACAACGTGTAATAGAATATTATATTTAAATTGTAATTAAACAATTAGTTTTTATTATTTTTAGGAATCGCGATGTACAAGACGACGTATAAAAAATCGTTCTATTGGCCGGAACATATACCCAAATCCAATGTTCATCAGTTAGTATTAAAACTGTACATATTTATAAATATTGTTGGACACATTATCACAAATATTTCATTTTTTAATTCCAACGCAGACTGCATTTACTCACAGCACTCAATATTATTAGATTATCTTTGTACATTTTAATATGTAATATGCTTATCACGAATTCATTAGCTTCTAGTCAAAAAGACGTTTTATAAACGAATCCCTTTCATTTATAAAAATAAATACACATACTTAATTGTTTGACTTGTATACAGTGGGTTCTGAGGGGTAGGCACAATAGAACTTACTGTACGAGATAGGCATTTCGCGTATGGGACCAAAATATATATAATAAATATATAATATATTATGTGTGTCTATAATATATTATATTAATGGTTCATTGAAGCATTTCATATTTTAGTTTGATGTGTACAGTAAAAATTCAAAAAAAAAAATTTTTTTTAAAGAGTCGAACCTGGGTTCACCATGATACCAAAGCCAAATGAAGATGAGTACAAACAGCTGTACATGCCTAAAATTTTGATACATAGAAAGCTAAGTGAAAATAAAAGAATTGTACCACCTTTGGTGTACTCATCTAGTGCAACACCAAAAGTATGTATCTAACTGATATTTTACCATTGAATATAGTACCTAACTAATAATTTTTTCAGTATAACTAGAATTTAAGTTCACATTTAACTTATAAACAATTTAATATATTTTTTTAAAGATTATGAATAAAAGTAATTCATTTTCATGTACCTAAATTTAATATATTATATTATTTATCATACATATTTTATACCTATAATATATTCATGGCCCAGATTTGTATTATTAAATAAATCATTAAACTGTGTCAGTGTCAATAATTTAAAGTACACTGAGCTTTATTTATTTACATTGCGTTGGAACGGAATAGTTTTGATTCCGTTTGATTCCGTTGATTAAAACTTTTATAGTGAATCTCGCTGAAAGGTTATATTTAACGACGTATGAAACGAATAATATTGTTTTTGTACGATGTTATCTGATTTATAGACCTATATGTACTATACAACTATTAAACTATACAACACGTGGTGAACGATATACATTATATAATATATGAATCTATGTCAAAAAAAAAATTTAATTAATTAATTGATAAATGTAAACAATTGGTTCAAATAAGTTAAGTACAATTTTTAAGAAACACCAATGCACCTATCGAAACAGACTGAAAAAAAAAACCAATAATTTTGTACAAATCAAATAGGTACTTCCTGTGTTTAGGTTTAAAATATCGTCTTACCCATTCATGTGAAAAATATATAATATATAATAGGGTGATCCATTTTGCGCAAGACACTCATTTTTTTAAAAACTATTGAAGTTTTTAAAAATATGTTTTTTTAGATTATTTTAAGTTATAAAAAAACAAAATTTTTCTAAATGAATATTATATAAATATTTTTCACTAATTTTTATCGTTATCATTTTTAAAAATGTTGAATGGCAAAATACATTTTCAACTATTTCTTTTTCAAAACCAGAATATTTTTTGGGATACTTCAATACATAAATATATAGTGTTTGGATGGGTTGCTTATGAGTTATAACTTATAAGTATTTAAAGCTATCATGAACAGAGAGGAGTGCTTCAGGGTATATACTTGGTATATCGGTATACCAGAAAAATGTTGGTTCACTACTCCACTCATCTAAACTTAAAATATTTAACTAAAAAACTAAGTGTTTGAAATTTGATTTATATAGATGGAAATATACTCTAAATAATAAAATATGAATTAAAAATGTGAATTGATTCAAAAAAGTAAAACAAAACTTGAGATTTAATTATAAGGATAAAAAAAGCTGGTAAGTGGATGTCGTTCTGCTGTACAGTAGATTACAAGTGAGTCATTGTTTAATGAATTGTATTAAACTTGAATTCAATGATATTCTATCATTGTATAAGAAAAACGATTCTGAGAGGAGACGGTTTGTCAGTCTGGATATTTTATATTTTCATTAAATTATTATATCATGCAAGTTGAATTAATATTATAATACTATTATTTTTTATTCATTTCTATGGTAATAAACATAGCGTTAGAAATTAAAATCCAATTTTTAGCGGATTTTCATAATTTTTCGGTGGTTTTTACAGTGGCATTAAATAACTATTGATAAACTTGAAAAATGACCTCTTTAAAGTACCATCTTGATCCAATTTGCTAAAAGATAAGGTACTATATGTTTAAATTAAAGAACTCCTTCTGGTAGAAATTTTGTATGAAGGATATAATAAGAAAAAAAAAATAATAAACACCAATGTAAAACCACTAGCTTCCTCGCTCCGCTCAGAATCTAAAATAGCAAAAATTTTTTTTTTTTTTAAATTGTTGTTTTGTAATGACTTACAGTTATGTAAACATAATATTTTCCAAGACGTCAGAGTTTTCTGGAAATAATGAGTGTCTTACGTTAAATGGATCATACCAAATGTATACATATTATATAATATTCTAAGTGTATATTTAAGTTTAGAAATGCTATAAATTATTCAAATGTTGAATTTATTTCAAAAAGCAGCTAGCAGCATACAATAACGAGAGGTCGGAAATCTCTATTTAAATACACTTTTTGGCGAATTTCGGTTCATGTGTTTTCGTTTTACTCTCCCGAACAATAGACCGACTGAAGTAGCGTGGACTTTGAACGGTTCGACAAACATTAACGTTTCAACGGTCCGATTTAGATGAAATACAAAGGTTTCTGCAGTATTTCGGTTTTGTATAACGTGCATCACGGGTCGTAATTCAAAAGTCAGCTATAGAATAAAAATATATACTACAAGAGTCCGGTCTATATATTATTATATTCCAGAAAAAATTGAATTATCTTTTTTTTAATATGTATAATATATTATGAAAGTTATGCAGACTTAGTTTGAGAATACTCAAAAAAAAAATAAATTCAAAAACCATCATTTTTAACTTCAATATAATATGGGTGAGATAAAATTTAAAAAAAAAAGTATGATACGACATGTGTTTGAATGGGGAACATTAATCCATCGTTCATTGTTTCGTGTACATGCATTAATAAAAAAAAATATGAATAAACATATAAATATTATTATATTATATTATTTAGAAACAGCATTCGAACTTTAAACAAACAATAAAAAATGCATTATTTTAAATAATCAACCTACTAACCTATATTGTTTATAATCTCGAATAAACAGAATAACAATATACTATTTATGAACGATTCACCTTGAATTCATTATATATTATGTATTTAATACATATTAATTATTAAGCTCGCTTCTAGTTTTTTTTATTTAATTGTTTGTATTTACCTATCTTCCATATTGTGTGCATCTCAGCTTATCATCATATAGTATTATGATTTACGATGCTATTTTTCGATATCTTCATTAAAAACTATAACCTCCTATTTCTATTGGTATCCAATATATATGTTGTTCTGACTTAAAACGTGCAGGTGTGGGCTAACAGAGTAATAAGATTGTCATTGCTTGAATTTAAATTTAAAATATTATTAAATTCATAGAAATAATTAATAAATCGTAATATTATATTGTCTATTCAAATTAATTGCACCAAACTTAAAATTTAAATAAGTACTCAAATATATTTGTTCCATAGATTTCTCGAGGCTGTACAATACCATTAACATTTAAATCTGTTAAAATAAACTTAAACACAAGTATGCCATTTGTTGTTCTTATCCTTGAATTTTGAATTTAATTAAAATGTATTGTACTATGCATATAAATAATATATATGTGTAATCTTACCTTTCTACGCAGTTGGTTAGTATAACAAGTATAAATTCATAAAAGTAATTTTTTTATGATGTTAAAGTAGCTATGTAGGTATATAAAATATAATATGTAATAAAACTAAATATATATGCTATATAAGTTTTTATTTAAATTGAATAAGTACAAAATTTAATTAATGAAAACCAGCATAAAAAATAGTTAATGTATAAAATAAGTGATTACTACCCATCAAGGAAAATATTATTTTGAAATTCTTAATCAAGTGTAATTCGATTTTAAATAAAGTCGATTAATACCAGCTAGGTACCTAATGAAACATTATATTATATATTTCATATATTATTGTTAATATTTATCTAATTTGAAGTTGGTCATAAAACCTAATTTTAATTTTAGATTTAACTCATTTAATGTTACTAAAAAAAATAATGAAAAGATAACTTATTATTGTAATTAATATTAAAAATATTTATATGACGCATGAAATAGTACTAAATTTAAAGAACAAACTTTTTTTATGTAAAATGTGGTATATAGCCAATATAAGTATAAAGAAATATTGTGTCAAAGAAAAAATATTTCTTCTTTATTAACTTCCAGACTGTCACCACTGATGTTACATTTTATTCAAAAAAACAGTCATTCGACATTTTTTTGTCTGTCCAGAATAATAATTTGGGTTTCTTTCCCTCTGGCCATAATTATTATAAATTCTTATTTCAAAATGACGAACTATAAAAATAAATCTACAGTAAAGTGTCCCAAATGAAATTGAATCAAATAATCAGTAACGACCAATAAAACTGGATTTACAAAATCGTGCAGTTATTGGTAGTTCTGACACTTGTCATGCTAAATAATTATTTTTATTATTCACTCTAAAACAAAATTTAATCAACAATCATCAACACAGTGTCAAGACGAGGATTTAAATTATTCCGATAAATACGAAAGATCTTTGTACCAAGAGAGCTATATAAATTGGACGCCAAGTCAAGCGCATAAAAAAGGTTCAACTAAAGTTATATACATTTTTTTCTTCGCCCCTTTATGTATATATATATTGATTGGTTTTATTTTTTCGCTTATTCGCTAGAGGAAACACCAGAAGAGTGGGCTCAGAAATGGAGGAACGAGTGTCACAACGTTCGAGATGCCGACGATTTAGTGCAGGACTTATCGAATCGAATTATCAAATCTCGAAAGATGATATTAAGTAGAAAGAAGATCGGCTATGCTTAGTGGGGTACTGTTGTACAGATTAAACATTTTGATAGAAACGTTTTTAATGTTTTGATAGTTATTACATTTTTTATTTAAATAATTAATAAAAACAAACAATTAATGATTTTTATTTATTAAGCAAATTTTAAACTAAATTCATAAGATAAATGAACAATTTTGACCACTAGGAGGTGTATATAATTGTATAATATATCTAATATCTGTTGAGTATAATAATGGTATCAAAAAATTAAATAGAATAAACCTTTTTTTTTTTAGAAAATTTTGCAATGGTTTTTAGCAGCATAACATAGTTTTTAACTTAATGAATAATAAAATGTTTACATTTCAAATTAAACATTTAACTAAACGTAATTATTATTGTCTTTTTTTTTTAAAAAAGCTTGTTTTTTCGACGCATAAATCTTTATTTGTATATACTTGCTATATCATAATATTTTAATTTTAATTAAATAATTAAAAACTTTAATTTTTAAACGCAATTATAGTTTGTTTTTTTCATCATAACATAAGTATATTAATAATGAATAATGAGAACACGCCCTTTATGAAATTTTAATTTTAAAGATCCATTTTTGATTGTATAATGAAATGTCTTATATAAGTCCACAAGTTCTAGGTGATTATTAATTAATAGCCCTTAAATCATTAAATTATAACTTTTTTTGAAGAATAAATTGATTTCTAAGACTGTTGATTAAAATTAAAACTCAGATCTGAAATATGACAAATTTAAAAAAATTGCTATCAGCTGTTGCCTGTTTTTCATAATAATTTACACTATAATATTTGGGCAAATTGCTCCAATCAAATTAAATGTTTAGGGCTTTAAAGATCCCCGACTATAATATTTTTTCACTGTATCTAAACTTTATTATTTTATACTTACTCTTTATCTTTTATAACTTACTTCCATTTTTTTCTTTAATTACTCACTAAATAAGATTTTGAAAATAAAACTTAATACCAAAATCATTTAAGCTACTTAATTTTAATATTATGCTAAATAATAATTCATGAATTTTACCGAATTGAGATAAACTTATAAGATCTATACGAACTTTTACTTACCTATACGAACTTATAAGAACAAATAGATTATTTTTATTATTCTATTACGATTTACGAGCGTAATAATAATAATGGAAAACACTATTAAGGTAAGATTTAATTTCGAATAAATCGTAATACCTATAAGTTTTTAAAAATTATAATTAAAAGTCGAATTTATATGCATTGTAAAATAGGCATGCACTAAAATAAGTCAAAATAGGCAAGGAAAAATGCAAAACATGCAAGATTGAATTTCAATTTTTATTTAATTTTTATTTTGCAGTGTTGATTATTTATTAATTTTATTAAAATTCTTATAAACAAAAAGTAAAATGTATAATCTATAGTTAATATATTATACCTAACACAGATATTGAGATATTCAGTAAACAAATGTAATTTGTTAAATTTAAATTTAATTTTCAATCGTTAATAGATTGAAAACCAAGTAAATAACATTTTAATAAATACGACAAATTGAATTATTTGAACTGTACAATATTTGATATATAAACGTACCTATACAGTATACCAGCTATATTATTTTTTTTCCTCGACACTTTTTTTTATCATGATGTGTTTATATGTATGCTTTTTTGTTAAAATATGCAAAAATATTCAGCATAAAATGTTGATATTTAATCAATTAAGTAATGATTTATGGACACTTATTGACTTCATGTACATGATGTTGAGAATAGTAACACGAATTTCAAGCAAAATCCGGTCATTAGTTATAATAATATTGTTTCTAAAATTCTTGTTAAAAGACAACAAATTGAGAACACCAAAAATATTTTTGGCTGTAGTTTTTAGCTTTAGTCAACTAAATTTCAATTTGTGTTATGATTATTGTAACTTTATAATGCATCTAAATATATAATATACCTACATTATTATTCAAATGTAAAGAAAATAATGAAATTTTATATAATACAACCAACTATTACATTATTATATTATTTTCATACTTACAACTTAGAATATATTGTATAAATTATAAATTATAAGTATTTAATTTTATTTAATAATCGGTTGCAGGAGTAATATTTAATTTTATTTAATAATCGGTTGCAGGAGTAATATTTAAATTAACTTTACCCAACCGTGAAATTGGATAAAAAGTAATTTTTCTGAGTAGTCTTGCGAAGAGTATATAATTTTGTTTTGAAATCAAAATTTATATTTTTAAGTAGACTTACTTAAGTTACTTAATACTCAGATATATTTAAGATTCAATTATCACACTGAGAAACGGCGAATGATATTATTTAGACATAATTAAATCTTAATTAAGATATGTAATTATAGCTTCACACTATATTTGTTTGGATACGAATAGGATAACTAGTTATCAACAAATAGTTACAATACATATAAACATATGATATGTACCTAATTTAAACACATTACCGAGCTATATCAACACGTTCTATATGTTGAAAAATGTAAACTTAATAATAATATATTCATTGACTGATTTATATGCAGCAAATTTTATGAATTATAAACAACTTGTTGACTAGCAACTTCCGTTTCTTAAAATTATATTGTTATTGTTTTGTGTTGTACAATGTTCATAACAATACTATGACAATAGTGAGGAGAGCCCTCAGTTTTTGAGCAAACTAAATTCCTGTTTCTATTGTATATTTTATTTTATGTATAATAGCTAGTCCCGCGCACTTCGTTGCCCGTAAAAAATGACAACTCTTAAAAAAAATTGTGATTGTTCAGCTTCTTTTGGGTGTAACTCGCTGAAGTAAGTGCAACTCAGCCACCCTAGTAGGTAATCCGACTACGTCGGATCGCGGACAATTTGAGACAACATAATATCAAGTAGGCTATCCACCGCACACGCCGATATGAGCGGCTATAAGTGCAACTCAACAGCCCTAGTTGGCAATGCGTAAAAATTCGATTTTCTGCATGCTTGTACTGATCTCTCCGATTAACCAATGGGGCAACCAATATTACTTATTTAAAAAAAATAAATTAAAATAAATTATTTAAATAACAAAAAAATAATAATAATACTAATTTCTACTATTACTATTAATTACATATATCACTATTAAATAACAAATTTGAAAATTGTTTTAATTTAGAATATTTTTGTTCTCGATAACTTTTTAAATAATGTGCTCATTTGGTCGTTTGTGTTTTTGAATTAAAGAACATTTATACCTAAACCCAAATATCTAAGGAAGTGGGTCTTAAAAAAAAAGTTGATACCTTTTTGTTAAGAGAACATGACGTGTGAAGTGGTAGTGTACTGTTTCTCACTAATATTTAGCTGACAATGCGTGTAATCGTCGTCTCAGAATGAAAAGGTTCTAACGCAATTTATGTAATTGTTCAGGAGAACGTTTTTAAGTAGGACATTGAATAACTTTTTTCACCATAATTACTAAATCGTGAAAATTGTATGCAATATCAAGAAAGTTCCAAAGAACACAACTTTATCTGCAATTTGTCTTTCCTCAATTATTGACTGAGTTAATCATAAAAAACCAAAATATTAGTTTTAGAATTAAAAAGTTTTACGTGTAGAACTTTTTCATTCTGAAAATAAAAATTATTTATTTAGTTAGAACTTTTTCATTCTGATTTGAATCATTTTTTCTATGCAGTGATACCAACTTCTAGTGTAAACTATGTTATAAATTATACATTTTTTTATTATGCAATATTTATAGTTTTTAAGTTAAGTATTATTATATTATAACATACCCGTATATGCAGTGGGCGGGGTGTCCCCCCAACCCCGGAATTTTTTTTGTTGTGTATGTGCCTACTATAAGTAATAAGTTACAATTGTATGGTCCATTGGTGCAATTAGTGTAGGGAAGGGGGGTATATTGAAAACGCAACAATATAAATTAAACGGCATAAATCATAATTCACAATAATGAAAAATGTCAAAAACGTAATTCAAATTTAAATGTACCATTTCTTATAATACTAAAGTAGGTACTATTTACATGTGGCATGTAGGTATTACCTACCTTATCACCTCAACAAAACAAAAATAGACGGTAAATTTATGCTGGAATGCTGGAATAATATTTTATTATGGCACAATAATAATTTATATTGTACCAGTGGTATAACCGTATTATAACGGTACATTTTCATTCTGAGATATTACATTTAAGACCGTTTAGAACTATTTCATTCTTAATTATTGTTTAGAATGAAAAGGTTGTAACTGATATTTCTCGGTTTCGCACTTATCATTCACGTTTTTATGAGTTAGAACCTTTTCATTCTCTGTATCTCATTGAATAATCAACGGATCGATCCGATTTCAAGATTGAATTATACAACAAAAAATTATAAATGATTATATGCAAAAAAACCATTTTTCAAAAAAATTGATTTAGAACCTTTTCATTCTGAGGCGACGTAATATCGTAAAATATGATTTGCTTATTACATAACATTCAACAATTTTATTCTGCTTAAGAACATTAAATTTAAACTATAGGTTACTATGTAAGTAAAATAAAAACCCTAAGAAAACATTACGTCTTGTCTTATAAGTTATAAGCTATGAGAAAAAAAAACATTAACATAACTGTGGGAAAATTGTAGTACCTACCTACTTCAAATTCATAAGAAGGTTTTTATTCTGGATCACTGCAAAACTTGACTGAGGAAATGAGTGTTGCTGGTTAAATGGGTCTCTTGGCATGTACATATTATATATTATATCAAAATTCAAAAGTAACAGGAGACATTTTAGTGGATTTTCTACTCACGTCCAACATAATAATTACATCCCGACGTAAATTATATTCTGATACAAATAGTGCACTCCCTGTGAACGAATGTTGACTATGTGAATTAGTGACCTAGTAAATTTCTATTCTGTTTAAACGTTAAAGAAATATGAAACCCTACTACCGATCATTTATTACGACTTTGTAAAATATTATCCT